GGCTCCTCTGTCCAAGGGATTCTCCAGGTAAGAATACTGGAGTGGGTTGCCATGCCCTCCTCCAGGGGATCTTCCTGATCCAGGCAGGGATCGAACCCGAGTCTCTTATATCAACCTGCATTGGCTGTCAGTTTCTTTACTAGTAGTGCCACTTGGGAAGATATTTAATGCTAATATCTGCCTCATAGTATTGTTGTGAGGATCAGATGAGATAATGACTGTAATGGGCTTGACATATAGAAAGTACACTTGACCTTTGAACAACATAGGAATTGGGGCACCCACCCTGCATAGTTGAAAAATCTGTTTATGACACAATGGGACTTCCATGTCCATGGTTCTTCCTTATCTGTAGTTCTGCATCTGTGGATTCAACCAACCCCAGGTTCAACCAACCTTGTACTGTGTAGTACTGCAGAATTTACTATTGAAAAGATTCTGAGGACTTCCGTGGTGGTCCAGTGGCTAAGACTCCACACTCCCAATGCAGGGGTCCTGAGTTCAATCCCTAGTCAGGGAACTAGAACCCACATGCTGCAACTAAAAATCCCTCATGCCACAACTAAGATCCAGCACAGCAAAACAAATAAAAGAAAGAAAAGAATCTATGTAAAAGTAGACCTCCTCAGTTCAAACCCATGCTGTTCAAGGGTCAAGTGTACTCAGTAAATGATGGCTATTATTGTTAAAACAACTTTTCTATGTCTGAACCAAGGAAAGGCCTAAACTAACAACCTTTCATGAAAACTGCAAAAACCACTATGTCTTTATTTTACTCTAGACCCAATATTACTCAAATAAACAGAGTTCTTGCTCAACAAGAACAAATGGAATAATAGTTCATCAACTCATTAACTTCAACAGTAGATCAATGGTGAAAATCACAGATGCATGTTAATTGATACCTGTTCTTTGTTTTCTTTGCAACTTTTATATTTCTTTTCATGTAAGAAATAATTTACGATTTATAAGACTGTTCATATAAGTGATTTTACAGATCAGAAACAATCCAACAATGTGTCCAAATTTTTGTCAGGAAAATATGGGTAATGTAGGTATGATCTTCTGAAATATCTTAGAGTCACTAATGATATCAGAGGGGTCAGTAGTGTTCCCACTGAGGGCTACCGGTAAGAGACTCCTGAAGGGCGGACAAATCCTTCAGGTTTTCCTTTGAGCTTTGCGTATCAACCAACTCCAGTATTCTTGCCTGGGAAATCCCAAGGACAGAGGAGCCTGGTGGGCTACAGTCCACGGAGTCACTAAGAGTCGGACATGACAGCAACTAAACAGCAGCTGCAAGGACTTGCTAATACAAGATTGCTAAAATGAGGCATTTGTAAACTAAAATTTGCACATTACTCAAGTGTCCTCAGGATTCAAGTTAGGCACTCTACTAAGATTCCTGGGAAAGTTAAAAAGCTCCTGCCTGCAAGCAGACACCCTCCTGTCAGAATTCTCTGTTTCTAGGGGGTTTTGTTATCAATGCATTATCAGCATTGACCTGAGGTGGGTGAGCTGCTATTATTGCTTTCTGATAATGATCTGGTAGCTTTGTCTCATCATCATCTATTCGGTGACATGTGAATTGTTTGATTTTCTCCTTCAAGGTGCTTCAGTGCATATTTGCATCAAAAATAGTTTTAGCAATCCTGTATTAACAAGGCCTTGCCGCTGCTCCTGTTTATTGCCTATTTTAAAGTGTATAGGGCGTTGTTTAATTAAAAAGACTCATGTAAACTCATATTCTCTTATATAGCATAAACAAATCCATATGTAATTATAGCAGTAAGTTTGATGCAACTTTTAATTTTGTTCCTTTTCTATTCTATTATTATCACCAGTTCTTTTTTGAGTGAGGCATTATGTATGGATGAGTAAAATAGATTCCATGATCAATACTGTTCTAAATTCTTTGAGGAGATTATTAATGCTTACCCTCACAATCCTTAAACATTGCACAATAGTAACAAAGTAACCAACATGGGACTCTCCCTCCAATTTCTCACTCTGCTCATCCAAAGGTCCTGGCTACCTTCATCTACTTCTGTAAATGTAGAGCCTGTTTATTATGCTACATCCTAACCTCTCCTGATGAATCTATCACGATGATTTCCCAGGACACATCTCATCATTATCTCATCATTCATTTCTTGGCTGGCACAAATGTCGTTTTCTCAGAGAGACTTTCCTTGAACATTATGTTTATTGGTGTGTCATTCCTCTGTCCTGTTACCTTATTTTCTTTAGAATAGTTATCAGTATATCATATCATCAATGTTGTCCTGTCTCCTGAGTCTTCTCCTGTCTGTCTGATTCATTGCTATATCCCCAGCACCTGAAAAATATCTAAAATATAAGGAAGCACTAAATAAACTAAAGATTGGTGAATAATGAATGAGTTCTTTAATCATTCATTCATTTCACATTGCTATTCTGGGGAGCAGATGACTGGAAGGTCTATAGAGGCAGAAGCTCTCATTTAATCCTGATGGCATGTTGCATGTGTTGGAGGTCTACCTGCCAGCCAACCAGTGGGGATTATCAGCTACCCCAGCCCAGTATTTTCTTCTTCAGTTACAGCAATTGAAGCAGGGTTGCTCTTCTTCATTGCATCCCCCAACCTCCTCCATCTCAATGGGAAAGAGTCCAAGGCTCGAAACTTGTCTTAGGTATAAAGTTCGAATCCCCTTCTCCTAACAAAGAGCCCTAACTGGTCTGGCTGTGAGGATTTCATATAATTAGAAATGGTGAAATCTGTGTGTGAGCTGAAGCTGTGAGTGATGTCAACATATGAGAAGCATGTAGAGCTGATAGATGGGTAGGGAGCTGAGGGCTGTGAGCCCCTGGTGAGTCATCTGAAAGTCAAGGAGGACCAGGGGCAGACATTGATGAAAGTTGAATATATGTATCTCGGAATCAGAGAGTCTGGGAGATGACAGTGGGGAGCAGTGGAATGAGAGAATAAGCTGGAAGTGGTGAACAAAGAGAATTTTGTGGGGTTATTTATTTTTTGGTGTTGCTTAATGCCTCTGTTGAGATATAATTTACATACTGTTAAATTCACCTACTTGAAGCATGCAATTCAATGGTTGTTAGTTTATTTGCAGAGTCATGCAATCATCACCACTATCTAATTTTAGAACATTTTTTTTTTATCATCCCCCAAAGGAATCCTGTACTCATTAGCAGCCACTCCTCTTTCATCTACCCCTTTCCCCACTAAGTCCTAGGCAACCACTAATCTACTTTCTGCCTCTATGGATTAGCATATTCTGGATGTTTCATATAAATAGGATTATATGTTAATTGGTCTTTTGTGACTGGTTTTCCTTTTACTTAGCATGTTTTCAAGGTTCGTCTATGTTGTAGCCTGTATCATATGCTTCATTTCTTTTTATGGCCAAGTAATATTCCATTGTATGGATATATAACTTCTTATTTATCCATTCTTTAGTTGATAGACACTTGGGTTGTTTCCACTTTTTGGCTATAATGAATAATGTCACTGTGAACATTTGAGTACAAGTTTTGTGTGGACATATGTTTTCATTTCTCCTGGGTATATATCTAGGAATGGAATTTCTAGATAATGTAGTAATTCTGTGTTAAACACATTGACGAGCTGCCAAACTGTTTGCCAAAGTCTGCACTATTTGCATTCTACTGGGACTTTTTCTGACTGGTGGTTTTATGAGTTTGTTCTGGACACTACAGCCACCTGAATACCACCAAAATGAGTATGTTGGGATTTTGCCTGGATCTCACTATTTAACTTCTGCTGCACAAACCTTTGGATCCCATGAGGCCCACTTGTTATGCTGCTAAGTCACTTCAGTTGTGTTTGACTCTTTTTGACCCTGTAGAACATAGCCCATCAGGCATCTCTGTCCATGGGTTTCTCCAGGCAAGAATACTGGAGTGGGATTTCCTATTCCAGGGGTCTTCCCAACCTAGGGAGTGAACCCATGTCTCTTATGTCTCCTGCATTGGCAGGTGGATTCTTTACCACTAGAGCTACATAGGAAGCCCAAATTTTGGGACACAATCCTTTTCCAAAGTTGAGAACCCATCTTCTCATTGACTTTTCTTTTTTTGGCCATGACACACAGCATGTAGGATTTTAGTTCCCTGACCAGGGATCAAACCTGTGCCCCCTGAAGTGGAAGCACAGCACTCTAACCACTGGACTGCCAAGGAATTCCCCTTATCATTTGTTACGATTTTACCTAAATGTAACCCCAGAGGTATATTGTGACCAGGCAGTCCTGTCAGGCCTCTTGTCCCTCCATCTGTTCTTGTATTCTATTCATTGCTTTCTCCACACAAAGCTTTCCTAATGTCTAGCCCAGTAGTTTCAGCTCAGCTGCACATTAGAATCTCCTGGGAAGTTTTCAAACATACCAGAGCTCATGCCAAAGCTTCTGATTTAATTGGTCTAGGGTGAAGGCTGGGTTGTAGGATTATTTGAAAATTTCCTCAGATGATTCTGACATGCAGCCAGGATTGAGAACCATTGCTCCAGCTAGAAGAGTTGTTTCTCCTCTGAACTCTATAGCAGTTTTTTCCTCTCTCTCTATCTCCTGTTGGCTGCTGTGCACATGCGGTGGGTCTTATTCCCCAACCAGGGCCACAGCAGTGAGAGCACTGAGTCCTAACCACTGGACAATCAGGGAATTCCTGCAGTTTTTCTTTAATCATGCTCAACAAAACTTTAAAAACATGTTCTACATTTCACTGAAGTTATTTACACATGTATTTTATTTCTCCAGCTGTGCCACAAGCTTTTTGTGCTTCATTCTTCAAATCTCCAACAGGGTTCAGTTCAGTCACTCAGTCGTGTCCGACTCTTTGTGACCCCATGGACTGCAGCACTCCAGACTTCCCTGTCCATCACCAACTCCTAGAGCTCACTCAAACTCATGTCCATTGAGTCGGTGATGCCATCCAACCATCTCATCCTCTGTCATCCCCTTCTCCTCCCGCCTTCAATCTTTCCTAGCATCAGGGTGTTTTCCAGTGAGTCAGTTCTTCCAACAGGGTTACCCAAGGACATTTGTTTATCCCCTCACCTGGACTTGTAAACATTCATTAAGCGCAGACCTATCCCTGAAAAAAGAACTAAAAATAGCAAGAACTGTATGACCTTGAGAAAGTTATATAACCTCTGAACCTCTCAGAAAAGACTAGGTTACAGCCAGTCTTGGAAAAGACTGGTCTCCCACTAGCATTATCATGGAACAACGCACAGAAGCCAGGCTGGCAGGAAGTTCTCTGAGGTCTTCCTTGACCACCCTCCTAAACTTGCAGCTCCCTCCCTGCATTGCCTCTTCTGCTTCCCCTGATTTGCTTTTTCTCCTTGGCACTCAGCACATACTCTGTGTTTCACTTCTCTTCTTTTCTGTTGGTCTCCACCCACCCGCAGTATAAGCTCCCTGTGGATAGAGATTTTTGCCAGCCTGGTTCACTGCTGTATCTTCAGAATTCAGAGTAGTGCCTAGCAGGTAGTAGATGCTCAGCAAATATTTGTTAAACTACTAAGTAAGTATTTTAGCCTATTTTTAAAAAGAGGTTTAATCCCTGTCCTCTACTCCAGCAACATGAATTACTTTTTGGTAAATATTTGTAGTCTTTACTATAAAGCCTTTCTTTTCCAATAAAAACTATATTTCCAGCATAAACATGTATATTCTGAGTTGTGGTTTGGAAATATAATGCCATTTCTGAGAGCATCGACAGTGGTTCTGTTTAAACCCAGGGAGGGTTGGAGCAAGGATCATGGGCAATTTTGGGGACTGTTGTATGTGGACTGGAGCAGAGGAACAGGGATGGTTAGTGGAAGCCAAGGAAACCTGAACACTGGGTGTTCTTGCACCGTTAGAACTCTAATCCTAGGTGTTCCAGAGGACAAGGACCGTGGTGACAGAGGTGGCCAAGAAGAGCAGGTAGATGCGAAAGAGCAGGTTGTCCATCATGTGGCCGAATTGCACCCACAGGTCAACGAGCTGGGCCCTTGTCAATCCTGAGCCCCCATTCAGTTCTGCCTCTTTGGGTCCCAACTCCTTCCTTCCCAGTTTTCCTGGCTCCTTCAGTCCTATGGGGAGGGCAGAGATACAGCCATGAAGTGGGAAGGAGACAGGATTAGAGAAGTGGGAGACTGGGAAGTTGGGTCCAGTGTAGACAGGGCGAGCAGTGCAGACATCTCTTACCAGACAGGTGGGTGGATATGAGGCCCAGGCCTGTGTTTTCCTTCTGGGGCACAGTAGGGCAACGTGTCCTTGGACTGGTGTGATGGAGAAGCAGGGAGTGGAGCCAGCGAGGCATGGATGGGGGCTGGATGGTGGCCAGGTGCAGCAGGTAGGTGATAAAGATGGTCTCCAGCAGGCTGAGCACCATCAGGGACAGACACAGGGCAAAGTAGACACCTAGGTGGCAGGAAGGAGCACACTCGGATGAGTCAGGTCCAGAGGGACCACCAAGCCCCCCTTTCTTCTGTCTCACACCTCAAGCCTTTTCTAAAATGACTGCACCTTAGCTGCCTCAGCAGATCTAGCCAGTTCACTCGCCTACCCTGCCTATGTTTTATTTTTTTCATTTTTCATTTCCCAACTGTGAGGTAGGGGACATACTAATGAGGGAGGTGCCAGTGGCAGGAAGTAAGTTACTGATATTGAGCAGGAAGACGTTGTAGCCCAACAGGAGTGTCATCTTGAATGGGGCACGGTTGTCGCTTTCTGCCGGCAGGTAGAAGCTGAGGGCGTCAATGGTGACTAGAAAGCTACTGGGCACCAGGAGGTTTATGATGTAGAGGGTGGGCCTGCGCCTGATGGCCACCTGGTGGGGTGGGGAGAGCAGAGAACCAGGTGAAGTTAGAACTGAAGTGAAACCAAGGGATGAGTCCAGTCCCTTTCTTTCTTTCTTTCCTTTTTTTTTTTTTTTTTGGTCTGCACCATGCAGCTTATTGGATCTTAGTTCCATGACCAGGGATTGAACCCGCACCCCCTGCATTGGAAGTGCAGGGTTCCAACCACTGGATCACTAGGGAAGTCCCACCCCTTCCTTTCTTAATATCCTCACTCCAACAGTAGCTCTTTGGGAGGGGCAGCTTTCATGTGACAAATAGGACTCCCCCATACCCACTGAAGAAAACCTAGGCCAGGGCTGATAGGTTCAGAGATGGGGGTTGCTTTGGGGAACTTGGAAGAGAGGAAGGCTATGAGGGTTATGGTGCCCAGGGACTTTTTGGTCTTAGGGCAAGTGGTGAAAGGCTCTGAGACTTAGAAGGGTCTGATGAGGAAGATATGGGGGATGGAAAGTTAGGCGGCTGGAATATCTCTGGCCTTACATAAAACATGATCTGGTCAAAAAGACTGGTGCCCACAGACATCTTCGGGGTGGCCTTGTTGATGCCCAGGAGCTCCCACTCTCCTTGTGTGCGGCCAAGGTCACGTGAGTCATCCATTATCTCCCACACTTCCTTGTCCATGCCCAGCAACATGCTTTCCTCTGCAGGGGAGACAAACACTCAGTTCACATCTGCTCAGCACCCACTTTATGCTGGGATTGCAGAAATGATTCAATAATTATTTTAGCTAGCTTTTCAGCTAGTCCTGTAATGTGACTTCCTTGCTGCCCAGTTGCCTCCTTTCAATTTTGGGCTTTTTCAGGAAGTTTCTAAAGTTGAACTTCTCCCCACCATCCACACACCCGCAACTAGCAAATACTCCACTATCCCCTTTTATACATAAAAAAATGACTTGGCCCCTGAGTGTTTTTTTATTGCCCCCCTGGTTGATCTCATTTACCCCAGTTACTTACTTCAACTCACCTGTATAGAGGAAAGAACTAAAGGTGAGGGTGCAGTTCTGCTGGTCAAATGGGAAGTAGAAGATGTCCAGGTTACAGATGCTGGTCACCCTCATCGGTTTGTTATACACAACACGACCATCATTAGACACATATGCAGAGAGGCCATCCGGGGTCTGATCCACATCCATGCTAAGTGGCAGAAGTGGGGGCAGACATCTGTTTAAGTTTGGCTCTTAAGGCAAGGTTTCCCAATGCTGCCGCTCCGCCATCTTTTCTGCCCACTGTTTTCTCACTTCTGGGGAGAAGTTGATGAGCTGTGACTGTGCTCCTCTCTGAAATAAGTTTTCAGTGGCCCCACTGCATGGGTTTGTCCTGCACTGCCCTGGCCTGCTCCTTGCAGAAGAGTCTTCGCCCAGCTTTTTCCAGCCCTGATACTCACGATTCTACAATGAAGATGTCTGGGAGCCACAGGTTCTCAGCTGTTATGGTGAGTTTTTTTATATCACCACATTCTTCTGGGTCCCAGCTGATAAATGGGTGATTCCATATCTAGGACACAGGGTACAGAGAGATGGTTATGGCTCAGACCTGAAGCTAGTTTATATCAGCATTTCCTGCCCTCGAGTCCCTTAAAATATACATACATATGTCTGTATTTTTCCTAAATATATGTACTATGGGCGTATGATAAAACTTCAACAACTCCAGAAAGATATAATATAAAAAAAACCCTTTTTCCTTCCTTAATTCTCTCCGACTCAGTTCATCTCCCCAACTCAGTCCCATTATTAACAGTTTTTTATACATCATTTTAGAAAAAATACATATTCCAGCATTCATTTTTATTTACCTGGAATCATACTGTGCACATTGTTATACATGTTGCTTTTTTATTTTTTTTAGCCATATTTCCTTTTAAACTCTGATTCTCCTTCTCTCTCTGGTGATAATGTTCCTTTTCTCTAGTTTACAAAGTCTTATTGGCTTTTTGCTTCCTGCTCAAGGGAAATCTTAAGCTGGGGTGCTGAATACATTTGAGCGTTGACGCTTACTTAGGGGTTTCCAACTATACTGCCCTTTTTCTTCCTGTTTTTTTCCATCTGAATCTCAAAGTTGATTGGCAGCCCAGAAAGCTATTTGTCACCAGCACTGGCCCCATTCTGGTTGTATTTCCTTGGACACTGTCAATTTCAACAAATGTGATCTTTGCAAACAAAGCCAGAAAATCAGGCAAGGAGAAAGAGAAAAAAGCTGGGCTTACATACCAACTTTAACCACAGAAATGATGTCAGCAGCTGAAGTTGTGCATCCTGATTAAAAAAAAAAATCCCCGTTCAAGATCATCAGTGCCATGAAATCAGGTCCTAGTCTACCTCTTCCCTTTGTTTCCTAAGTGGTCTCATGTGATAGTTCAGTTTTTCAGTTACAAGTCTTGGAAGATAGTTCAGAAAAATTCAGGTTGCACAGAAACTGTAAGGAGAAAAAACAGCATGGGAGCCCGTTGGGAATGTGTGTGTGTGTGTGTGTGTGTGTGTGTGTGTGTTTAAGTGGAATATTCCTATAAGGGCAGGATTCAAGGACAAATGTTCCCTGCAAAAATGTCACTGCAGCATTCCCTGTCATGTCTCTCCACCCCATAGGATGAACATCTAATTTGTACAAAATCCATTCAGGAGGCTCATTGCTCACCATTGGACAGCTATAATGTTGGACTGATAAGGTAAAGAGTTCTTGTTTTCTATTAGCAACCTATAGAAAAGTGTAGCAGTCAAAACTCACCACTTCCAGGATGGCAGACAGGGTGAAAGAAATGTTGATACGAGTAGGGATGCTAAAATTGATGACTGGACGGAAGTCCTTCTTGTTAAATACAGACTGGAAGACATTGGGGTCTACCCCATGCTGGTCAAAGCCTGAGCAATTGATGGTGAAAGTGTTTGCCCTTCCTGTAGAGAATAGAGACCCTGTGAGATGGGAATAGGGCCTTTGTGTTTTCCTAAGTGAGAGGAGTGCCAGGGCTGGGACCTGAGGGCCTCTCTGCAGAGAAAGAAAATGTGGACATGGGGTGGTCATGTGAACCATGCCCCCCACCCCCTCTTTTTGGGGCAAGATTCCCAAAGGCCAAGTTCTTCCTGCCAGGGTTGAGCAGGATGGGCTGGTGTGGTAGGCAAATGGTGGAAGTTGATGTGGTGAGCTGAGTCAGGGCACAGCCCTTTCTTCCTGTGCTTTTGGTCCCATATAAAGCCTACCCAAATCTGTATGCAAACTGCCTCTCTGGGGAGGCCTAGTCCTTCCATAGTGGTGACCCTAAAGTTTTGGCCTTTGTCTGACCATACTTTTCTTCTCTCCAGCTCTATTATGATTCTTCCTTGTAGATACTGAACAAAATTCCTCTAAAATTTTGTTTCTCAATGTTCCTTTCCCACTTTCATGTTTTCTCATTTCCTGAAAGGAAAAATTTAGAGACAAACATCCTAAATGTTTGTGTGATGTCAAACATGTGGGAACTTAAGGAATGTGGCAATTCAATGTGAATTTATTGACTACCTACAATGTTCTGTGCTCTGTGACCTTCTAAAACTCAGTGATTTCCTCTAAGATCTATGGGAGGCATTTTCATCATCACCATCTTGATAAGATCTCATTGATCATCCACCATGTGGCTGGTAGAGCTATACGATGAAATGTTCAAGTCCGTCTGCCCACCTTCCCCACACCCCAACCCCAGGTGACTGTGGTTATTCCTGTAGCTGAGCCCAGCCTTTTCTTTCCCATGTCTTTTTTATATCTCCCCATTCCAATTATCTCATGAGGGCCATCTCCAAACTAAGGAGAAACATATCTGGGGGGAAGCAAACACTGTCCTTTCCCTCCACATCACCTCTCTACCACATCTGCCAAAGTGAGGTGGGAAAGGAGTTATGTTATTGTCAGAAGGACCCTAACTACCCTGTTCACAGTTACTAATCTGGTAGAAAGGACAAGTTGAACATTATTAATATAAAGCAGTGGAATCAGAGAGGCGGTAAAATGGAAAAACAGACGATTTAGTAGATGCCTATGCAGGCAAATGAAATGGGAGCTGTGTGTTCTGATTAGTGAAATGGATTTTTTGTCTGTTTCCCAAAGGAAACCAAAACATAGACACTACAGAGAAAAGAAATGTTTAACCCAACTCCTTTGGGTGCTTTCTAGTTCTGGGGAATGAGAGGGTTTCTGGAATTGTCCTGGAAGAGTATTCCCCTCTTTCCCTGCTCTTGTCTCATCTTACCTTGAAGCAGAAGGCTGGCACTGAGGCAGAGGAGGAATCCCCCTGTAGTGGACCACCACCCTTCCATCCTCCTCTTCTGGATTCTTCTCTGGGGACTCACTAGGAACCCCAAACCCTGGAATTTAAAAGAGCCCAGACCACACCTTGACTCCTGGTTTTGAATGCTGCTCCTGACAGCTGACCACTCCCTAGTGAGAGGCTGTAGCCAGAGAGGTCACAGCAGAGTGTCCTGCTTTGCCCCTGTCCAAGAATGCCTTTTGAGCTCCAGGCAGGGAGAAAATTGGGCCAAGACTAGGGGAGAAGTACCTGTTTGGCTGCTTTGTCTAGATAAGTGGTCTCGAATTTGAGTTATAAAAATCTTTCAGGAAAACTGGGGGACTTGGGAGATGGGGCAGATGAGGTCATTAATAAAGGTATCATCAAGTCCTTCTGGAACGAACTGTGCCTCAGAGGAAGTGTATGGACCATCAGGAAGGAATGAGTGTGCTCTCTTGTGGTGGGGCCAGTTGCTGATTTCACAAGGCAGGAACATGTAATTATTTTGTTGCAGATCTAGAAATATATCTTTTATCCAGCTAAGGACCTTAGGGATTACTGTCAATACTGAGTTAAGAAGCTTGCTTGAGAGGTTAAGCTCCTTTTTTTTGTGACATAAAACCTATCAGAACTCTGTCCCTGCAGCTAGCACCATAATACAGGTTTGCATCATCCCTTGTTTGTACTGTTGGAATAGCTTCTTCATAAGGTTTCCTCTATCTAGTTTTCCCTAACCTAATCCTTTATTTTGCCATTCTCCTAAAATAGAACTCTCCCACTTACCTTTCCTTTTTTAATGTCTCTAAAGGCTTACAGCCCTGTTATCATCAAGTAATGTTTGTGAGTTGAAAAATCATTAGGAGGTTTGTGTGTGTGCCTGAAAGCACCCCAAGTGGTTCTGATTCATACTCACTTTATTGAAAACTTTGGGGTGGGCTATATTGAGATACCACAATCAATATATTGCTATTACTATTGATACACTCAAGATACAGACCATTAACTCCAGGATCTTTCATGTCACCCTTTCATAGCTATAATCACCTCCCTCCCCATTACTCTACAACCTATGAGAATCACTCATTTGTTCTCCGTTTCTATAATTTTGTCATTTCAAGAATGTTATATAGACCAGATCATGCAGATGTAACCTTTTGGGACTGGCTTTTCTCACTCAACAAAATTCTTTGGAGATTCATCCAGATAGTTGCTTGTATCAATACCACCCCCTTTTCACTGCTGAGTAGTTGTCCACAGTATGGATGTCACACAGTTTGTTTTTTTACCTGGTGAAGGACTTCTGAGTTTTAAGGGAAAACACTTACTTTGGACACCAAATATGTGCTTTTTTTCTTTCCCCCTCATACTGAGCCATTCTGACATTCATTATCCACAGTTAGTGCAGACCCCACAAGTAAAAGTCTCATTCCCACAAGACTGCCCCCTACTTCAGATGCCAATTACAAGCCTGGGTCTCCTACACTTCTGAACAACTGACTATAAGTTGAGGGTTCCCATAACTCTATCCTCAGGTTTGATGGTTTGCAGTAATGGCTCACAGAACTCATGGAAACACTTGTGTTTGCTGATTTATTATGAAGTATATTACAAAGGGCTTCCCTGGTGGCTCAGACAGTGAAGAATTTGCCTGCAATGCAGGAGACCCAGCTTCAATCCTTGGGTTGGGAAGATCCCCTGGAGAAGGGAATGACAACCCACCCACTCCAGTATTATTTCTTGGAGAATTGCATGGACAGAGGAGCCTGGTGAGCTACAGTCCATGGGGTGGCAAAGAATCGGATGTGACTGAGTGACTAACTTTTTAACTTTTATATAATAAAGGATACAGGTAAATGGCCAGATGAAAAGATATACAGGGCAAGGTTTGGAAGGTCGCTGAGTGCAGGAGCTTCTATCTCTAAGGAATTTGGGTGTGCTACCCTCCTGGCACATGGGTTTGTCAATTCAGAAACTCTTCGAACTCCATAGTTAAGGGATTTCTTACAGAAGCTTCGTTACATAGGTGTGACTGATTATTAACTCATTCTGCAGCTTCTCTCCTCTTGGCAAAGCATGGGGATTGGAGCAGGAAGTTCCAAGCTTCTATGGCTTGGTCTTTCTAATGACCTGTCCCTATTCTGAAGCTATCCAGGAATCTACCAAAAGTCACCTCATGAGAATATCATCTGGGAAATTCTGAGGGATTTAGGAGTCTGTGTCAGGAACCCAGATCAAAGACCAAATATTGAACGAAAGATGTTCCTAACACAACTATCGCTCAGGAAGTTAGTTTTAGGATCTCTATCTCAGGAATTGGGAGCAGAGATCAAATATATTTTTCTTCACAGAGTTGTTTACAATTTTTGTCTATTATGCATAAAGCTGCTAGAAATATTTGTGTTCTGGTTTTTGTGTGAACATAAGTTTTCTGGAATAAATACCCAGAAGTGCAATTGCTGGATTGTTTGGTTGTCTTTGCCACTCCTCATGGTCTACAGTAGTGAAAGCCTGAAATTCTAATCACCAGGCCAGCAGGGAACTCCCTGAATATACAGTTTATTTATTTACTTGGCTGTGCTGGGTCTTCGTTATGGCATGTGAACTCTTAGTTGAGACCTGTGTGTTCTAGTTCCCTGACCAGGGATCGAACTCCAGCCCCCTGTGAGTGGGGCGTGGAGTCTTAGCCACTGGACCACTAGGGAAGTCCTGTGGGTGTAAGTTAAGTTACTTTACCTGTTTTCCTCAGTTTCTTCATCTATAAAATGGATAATAGCAATAGCTCTTATCGCATTGTTATAAGGATTAAATAAGGTCATAATTCCAAAATGCTTAGAACAGTGCTAGTACATAATAGCATGATATAAATGTTTTTTAATAATAATTTCAGAGAACACAGTCTCACTGCTACTAAATTTTAAGACATGCTTATAGTCTACCTATAGTTGATTTTTGTGAATATTCCAAATGTGCTTGCAAAGAATGTATTCTCTAGTTGGTAAGTGTAGGGTTCTATATATTCTTATTACATCTAATTTAACTGTGTGGTTAAAGTATATTATTTTTTCAGTAATGTGTTGTTACTGTGAAATATATTGAAATCTCCTATGATAATACTAGAACTGTCACTTTATCTTTGTAATTCTTTCCAGTTTTGCTTTATATATATTTGAAGCTATTTTATTAGATGCATTCAAATTTATAATGTTTATATCCTCCAAGTGATAAGATAAACATTTTATCTTTATGTTGAGATTCTCTTTATTCTGAATAATTGTTTATTCAGAATAATTATATTCTGAATAATTACCTATTCTGAATAATTCTCTTTATTCTGAATAATTGTTTTGTCTTAATGACAATTTTGTCTGATGTTGCTAGAGCCATTCCAGCTTGCTTATAATTAGTATTTACCTTACATGTCTTTTCCTGTCTTTTACCTTTAGCTTTTTTGTGTCCTTTGGTTTTAGGTGTGTCTTTTTAAAATCCAACTAAATAAACACTAACTAAATTGTTGAGTTTAATGCATTTACATTTGTTTTATTATTAACATATTTGGATTTACTTCTGCCATCTTATTCCATACTCTGCTTCTTTTTTTCCTCCTTTCTTGACTTCTTTTGGTTTCATTTAGGATTTTCTTTCCTCATTTCATTTTTCCTTCTGCAATCCTTTGTCTTTCTCTACCACTTTCAGCCTGTCTTCCAACTCATCAATTTTTTTATCTGTGTCTAATTGGATGGCATCAACGACTCAATGGACATGAGTTTGAGCAAGCTCCGGGAGATGGTGAAGGACAAGGAAACCTGGTGTACTACAGTCCATGGGATCACAAAGAGTCAGACACAACTGAGTGACTGAACAACAACAATTTATCCACTGTGGTTGTTAATTTTCAATAATTGTATTTTTAATTTTTCGAAATTATATTTGCTTCTTCTAATACATCTGGTTATTTTTATAGTCCCTTGTTCAGTGTACAGAATCTTTGCCTACCACAATGTTACAGTATGTTTTGCTCTATTTTTTAATTTTTAATTAATTTTTTTATTAAAGGATAATTGCTTCACAAAATTTTGTTTTCTGTCAAACTTCAACATGAATCAGCCATAGGTATACATATATCCCCTCCCTTTTGAAGTTCCCTCCCATCTCCCTCCCCATCCCACCCCTCTAGGCTGATACAGAGCCCCTGTTTGAGTTTCCTGAGACAAACAGAAAATTCCCGTTGGCTATCTATTTTACATATGGTAATGTAAGTTTCCACGTTACTCTTTCCATACATCTCACCCCCTCCTCCCCTCTCCCCATGCCCATAAGTCTATTCTCTACATCTGTTTCTCCTTTGCTGCCCTGTAAATAAGTTCTTCAGTACCATTCTTCTAGATTCCCTATATATGTATTAGAATACGATATTTATCTTTCTCTTTCTGACTCATTTCACTCTGTATAATAAGTTCTAGATTCATCCACCTCATCAGAACTGATGCAAATACGTTCCTTTTTATGGCTGAGTAATAGTCCATTGTATATATGTACCACAACTTCTTTATCCATTCATCTGTCGATGGACATCTAGGTTGCTTCCATGTTCTAGCTATTGTAAATAGTGCTGCAGTGAACAATGGGATACATGTGTCTTTTTCACTTTTGGTTTCCCCAGGGTATATTCCTAGGAGTGGGATTGCTGGATCATATGGTGATTTTATTCCTAGGTTTTTAGGAAATCTCCATACCGTTTTCCACAGTAGCTATATCAATTTACACTCCCACCAACAGTGCAAGAGCATTCCCTTTTCTCCACACCCTCTCCAGCATTTATTGTTCATAGACTTTTTGATGATGGCCATTCTGACCAGTGTGAGGTGATGTCTCATTATAGTTTTGATTTGCATTTCTCTAATAACAAGCAGTTTTGAGCATCTTTTCATGTGTTTTTTAGCCATCTGTATGTCTTCTTTGAAGAAATGTCTGTTTAGGTCTTTTTCCCACTTTTTGATTGGGTTGTTTGTTTTTCTGGTATATTGCTTGTATATTTTGGAAATTCGTCCTTTGTCTGGAGAAGGCAATGGCAACCCACTCCAGTACTCTTGCCTGGAAAATCCCATGG